CATTCCATCCTTTCTTTTTTCTTTTTCTGGCTCTTTCTCATGCCAGACACTGAGATTGCAGGCTAAATAATGGGATTGCATCACTGAGTTTTGGAAGGAGGGAGTGAAAAAGAGAAATAGAAAGGAAATGATCACCCACGGCTTTTCAGTGTGAGTCAACAAAAGGAGGGAAAGAGCCAAAATTTCAGACACTTGCAGATGTGGAAGAATGAGAAACAGAGAATAGAGAATGAGTGACCTTGTGTGCATCTGTGTGGAGAATATAATCATAAAAGTAGGTTTTTAAAAGACATTTCATGAAGTTTATTTAAGCTTTAAGTCTGTATTTTTTCCTCAGTGCCCTCACAAAAACACCACCTCACTGTCACTGTTGTTGGACACACTGTAAAACAGCTACTCAAAATCCATTTTAAAACCTATTGAATGTTACCAGGAGGTTGATATATTCAGAAATGTGTGCAATATTTGTGGTACTTGTACAATATGTCTCAGTGTTAGTGTGTATATAAAGCCCAGAAAGTAAGGGTGGAGCTCGAGGAAGAAGTTAAATTGAAAACAAACCCCCATGCCAGAGACTGAGAGTGAGGCAGGGACGGATGGATGGAGACCAGGGGAAGTGTTCAGCACTCAAACCTTTTGCAATACTGTGTAATATCATAGAGAGAGGGAATAAGAGGAATGAGGAAAAGAAAGCATGCAGGAGTTTATGAAAAGCCAGAAGTGTTTGCGGGGAGATCAACATTTCAACGGTGGGAATGTTCTTTGCAAGGAAAAAAAAAAAACATAAATGTGAATGTGGGGGTGTGTTAAAGAAGCTTTATTTCCTCGTTCCTGTGTAAGTGAAGAAAATAATTATATGGTTAGGTGAATGTTTATGTAATGCACATCACTGCAAGACAGGACATTTAGTGGTATCCAAAAATGTGTCTTTTAAAAGTCACTTTTTCACATCTAATTAAAGCAATAGTTTATGCAAACATTTTCTGAAAAATTGCTCACACTCGGGCCATCCAAGATGTAAATGAATTTATTTACTTATCTGAACAGATTTGGAGAAATGTAGCATTACATCACTTGCTCACCAGTGGATCCTCTGCAGTGAATGGGTGCCGTCAGAATGAGCGTCCAAACAGCTGAAGAAAAAAAAATCACAATAATCCACAAGTAATCCACACAACTCCAGTCCATCAATTAACATCTTGTGAAGTGGAAAGCTGCATGTTTGTAAGAAACAAATACATCATAGAAGCGTTTTAACTTTAAACCACTGATTCAGTCCATAATCCATAATAATGCTTCCTCCAGTGGAAAAAGTCCATCCCCTGTTGTCCTCTCATATCAAAGTCCACCAACATATTTGTTTATAACTGTTTTGACTTGTAAAAGTCGCTTGGTCTGTGCATATTTCTCACTTGATTCAGATGAGACGACTTTTTCACTGGAGAAAGCAATATTATAGAATATGGACTTAACATAACATTAATTGATGGTCTGGAGTGGTGTGGATTATTGTGATGTTTTTATCAGATGTTTGGACTCTCATTCTGACGGCACCCATTCACTGCAGAGGATCCACTGGTGAGCAAGTGATGTAATGCTACATTTCTCCAAATCTGTTCTTATACAGAGAAACAAACACTATGTTGGCCTGAGGGTGAGTACATTTTCAGCAAATTTTCCTTTTTGGGTGAACTATTCCTTTAAACGGTTTAAATGATTGATTTTAGTTTTATGGTTTTATTTATATATTTATTTCTTTATACAAAATTGTAAAGAACTTTAATATCGACCTGAAAATAATCAGTGTTGAGGAAAGTTACTTTTAAAAGTAATGCATTACAATATTGTGTTACTCCATAAAAAAGTAACCCGTTACTTATTTACTTTTTATAGAAAGCAATTTTATGGAAAGCAAATACTTTTTATTTCTTTAATGGAGAGTAGTTCTGTTACTTAATTACTTTTATGGAAAGTAATGCATTATGTTACCTTTGGGTTACTTTTTGTCACCTGAGCTGGGCTTGCTTAATTATTTTTAATAAAAACAAAAGTCATATTTTTGGCACCTGTAAAGGCCCTTTCACACCAAAAGTGAAATGAATAAGCCTCAGCTTGAAGCCTCTGCACTTCTGTCAGTGAATAAATTGGAAAACAAAGTAACTGGGTTACTTATTTGAAAAAATAAAGATGCATTCTTGTAAATTTAAAAGTAATGTTACTTTACTAGTTACTTGAAAAAAATGTATCTGATTATGTAATTCGCGCTACTCGTAATGCGTTACCTCCAATACTGAAAATAATTATCAACCAGATTTTTTTTTACTATGGCACATTCCTAATTACACCTAGTGGTGTTATACTTTTGGACCCTCTTGTACAAACACACAGATGTGGAGCCACTCTTCATCAACTTTTCCTTTGCATCACACAGAAAGAACTCGAGATGGGAGGAAAAGAATGAAGGAAAGCAAAGAACTCAGATCTATATATCTCTGTAATGCATTCTGCATGTTATGACTGCAGTGGGGCTGCTGGTGTGATGAACTACTGTGCGTGTGCGTGACTTGTCTGGCAGAAAGAAATGTAAATGACTTACAGTTGCTGAAGTGAACGTGGACCTGCACGTGTGTGGGAGTGTGTCTGCGTGTGAGGGAGAGACAGGGTATTTCCTTCTACAAAATAAGCTGAAAAATCACAGCTGTCAGTGTTGGTGCCACTGTCAAGAGTCATAATGAAAAAAAAAAACTTTTTCCCCCCTCCATGTAATAATATGGTTTGATTTTCTCAGGCTGGTGGATCAAAGCCATGCTGTCGCTGGACGAGCCCCTGGACTTGAAGATTCCCTCTGGCCGTGACAGGATGCTCAGGACGTCCATCTGTGCCCCGCTGCACTTTTCTCGTGCTCGAATATCCCGTGCATTGCACAATCCCAAAAGCCCTGGTTAGTCAACTGACCACACAAACCACTACAGTTATTACATGCACCGCTACTTGCATACTGTCATATACATCTCAACGGAATAATGCAATTTATGTGATTAACTTACAGTAATGTGGATTATTTAGTCACTTGTTTCATTCCTGAATGAATCAGTGTTTTTGAACAAATCAGCTGAATAATGATTCAGTGATTTATTCATAAAAACAGTATCTTGAATAAATCAATCAGCATTTTTTTAACAAATTGGTTCAATGAATGATTCAATGACTCACTCACTCACTCAAGACAGTCACTTGTTTAGTTCCTGAATGAATCAGCTGTTTTGAACAAAATGTTGAATGAATGATTCAAAGACTCATTCATAAAGACAGGTGGGTGGCTGTGTCCGAAATTGCATACTCTCTGAATAGTCACTTCTTTTGAATAAGTAATTACTTTGCAACTGTTAAAAAAGTTCTATATAATATGAATGTGTGTAGTATGAATGTAATTCAGACATACTACATTTGTCTTGTTATCATTTTCATGTTACCAACAACATCGGTTGAGTCATTTCACTGACATTACAACTCCACTCCTGTAGCCTCATATAATAGAAAAGTGTCCATCAGATACACACTTCAGAATCTTGCCAGAAGTAGTAGTTCATCTGGGTACTTTTCACCTACTGTTTTATGAATACTATGAATTCGGACATACTACTCTTTTCACGTACTGATTTTTGCCTACTATATAGTAGAGAAGTATGCATATTCGGATGCAGCCAATGTCACATATTTCATTCCTCAGCGGTTTTAAATAAATCAGTTGAATGCATGATTCAATGACTCATAAAAACAGTCACTTGTTTTGTTCCTTAATCAGTGTGTTTGAACAAATAGGTTCAATCAATGAATCAGTGACTCAATTATTGTGACTTTTGCCACCTACTGCATAACACTGTAACTGCAGAAAGAGTCACTGAAAAATCCCTACCACTAATGCATAGACTGACACTCTATACCACAGTCTCAGCTGTACAAAAACTAGCCTCCTCTCTTCTTATCTCCAGATGCAGCTGACAAGGACATGTCAGATTCTTCATCGTCCACGGTGGTAGATCTGAGTCTGTCTCCATCTTCCTCTCCCTCACCACCCTCTCCTATAGACAGTGGCTCCAGCTGGAGCCCCACAGCGCCTCTTCTGGCCTCAGTGAGTAACTTATACCTCAAACTCTACGACTTCTTTCCACCACCAACAGCTGTTACAATAGTCCAAAATGGCCTTTTATTCTCAAAGACGTCAGGAAATTCACAGCAAATCACAAAATGAGTCAGTGTTTTATCCATGTGGTAAATGGATTCAAATTATTGAAATCACTTTCAAGAATCAAAGTACAATTTCTGAGATCTCAGAAGCCACTTCATGTGCACTTAAAGGGATAATTCGCCCAAAAATGAAAAGTACCCCATGATTTACTCACCCTCAAGCCATCCTAGGTGTATATGACTTTCTTCTTTCAGACGAATACAATTGGAGATATATTAAAGTGCCCCTATTATGCCATTTTGAATATTGCCTTTCATGCAGTGTGTAATGTAGCTGTCTGTGAATGTAAACTATCTGCAAAGTTGTAAAGCCGACAGTGCACAGTAAATAAAGTTATTGTCTCTCAAAAAATGAGTCGTCAGGAATTCGAATCCCACTTCCGTGACGGCTACACATCACTGGGTAACACAACTTGACCCGCCCTCAAACACTGTAGCATTTCCGTGTGGTTAACATCATGTCAAGAAAGTGAAAGTGACGTGACATGTGGCCAAGTATGGTGACCCATACTCAGAATTAGTGCTCTGTATTTATCCCATCCAAAGTGCACACACACAGCAGTGAACACACACACCGTGAACACACACCCGGAGCAGTGGGCAGCCATTTTTTGCTGCGGCGCCCGGGGAGCAGTTGGGGGTTCGGTGCCTTGCTCAAGGGCACCTCAGTCGTGGTATTGAAGGTGGTATTGAAGGTGGGAGAGAGCACTGTACATTCACTGTACAATACCACAGCAGTATAGCCGTCATTTTACTGACGACTACTTCTCTAATCTCGGGGAGATCAACGCGGGATTCACAAAACACAACGCGGGATTCACAAAACACAAAATTGCTCCACTGAATCACAAAGTGTAAGTATGATAAATTATAGATGTTTATATTTTCTATTGATCGTCCAAAATACACTTAATGCTTTATAAAAGAGGCGTCAAATGCTCAAGTTATGCAGAAATGTATAATACTACCTGTCGTACTTCGTGGCACCTTCGCTTGGCATTTTGTTAGAGTTCCCACACTTGCACCTAAATAAATTATAACAATGACGCTGCAGTCACGTCTTGTAACTACCACAAACTAAGTTGACACTTACCACTGAGAAACATCCTGCTCCAGTCATGCTTGCGAATCAGTGTCTGGTTGATCAGCTACTTCAGACGTTTCATCACCGGACTCGGGCTTGAATTTATAAGGTAAAATCGATACCATATTTTCTTTCTATACATTCTCTCCGGAGCTGTCATTCAGTTATGGCAATAGGCATTTCATTTCCGACACGTGCTGTACGCGGTAGACCAACAACAAAGGACTGGGCCATCTGACCAATCAGAGCAGAGTAGGCTCACGGAAAGGAGGGTTCTAGAGAGCCTGATTCTTCGAAATACTTTGTACGAATCGTTTACGATTCATTGAGAAATGTGGTGAAATTAAATGTATGTTATTAGAAAACAGAAGGGTTTTTTGACCTTGCATGCATGTAAACCTGTTGTAGGAGCCTCCCAAAACAATATTAGGAACCTTAAAATGCTCCTATTATGCTATTTGAATTGTTTATCATTTGTTTTAGGAGTCCCCAACAACAGGTTTACATGCATGCAAGATCAAAGAACACTTTCATTTTCTTATAATATGCATTTAATTTTACGTTATTACGACTCTCAAACGATTCGTTCTTGGATTCCTCTTTCTAAACCCCTCCTTTGTATGAGGCTACTCTGCTCTGATTGTTCCGATGACCCAGTCTTTTGTGATTAGTCTACTGCGTACAGAGCATGTCGGAAAAGGAACGCCCATCACCAGTACTGGAATACGGCTTATCAATAATACATTCCATTATAATAATAATAGTGCTCCACTTTGTTCTAAAAATAAGAATCAGAGGAGAAAAATTGTTTTACACTTATGTTAGTGAACCGGACCCACAGCTTGGTAGTAAAGACCCAAACAATAATGGCATGCGTTAGCCGAACATAATAAAGCACTGCAATTTGTAAACCAATGTATTGCTCCATCGTTTATCATGACTCCAAGTACAACAGACATTCTATATTAAATGACACATTTCTAGACAATAGCAGGCCCACAGCTGATTAGCAGAACTATAACGCAAGTTAGCCGGAGAACTAGCTGCACTGAATGTAAAACTACATATTTTGCATGCTCAACAGAACATTAAAGCAACAATATTAATCATACTTACAGGTTGTGAATTGGAGGAGCAAGCTGGTCCAAACAAACTGGGCACTGACTCACATTTCAAAGACAACCGGTTTACAAATCCCGCATTGAACTCGCGGAGATTGGAGATGCAGTCATCAGTGAAATGACGGGAACACAGCAAAAAGTTGTGATTATACTGCTGTGGTCTCTTAGTAAAGATGAATTTTAACCACTGATTCTTCACAGCCTCATCCTTTGGAAGTTATAATAAACCAAATTCACTTTCAAAGCGCAGAGCACAGCATCTTCTCAACACTACGTTATCCACACGAACGAGCAACAGCGTTTGAAGTTTGTTTTCGCGGGATGTCCACGCAGAACATAGGCGGGCATTATGCAAATGTAAGAATTTGTGATGTATGAAATTTGCGGAATGGAATTCGAATTTAAAACGACTCATTTCAGCAGTTCAATGGCAGTGAGTCCAACAAGAAGCTAAAGTCCAAGCGGAAGCTAGAGATTATGGTTTATAAAGTTTTAAATATGGATATTATTCTTACCCAAATGCATCGATTCACTTCAGAAAGCCTTTATTAACCCCCCCTCCTCCCTTTTATGACTGATGTATGCGCTTTGTTGGACTTCAAAAACTCAACACCCATTCACTGATCTTGTAAAGCTTGGAAGAGCCAGGACATTTTTAAATATAACTCCAATTTTATTCATCTGAAAGAAAAAAGTCATATACACCTAGGATGGCTTGAGGGTGAGTAAATCATGGGGTAATTTAAATTTTTGGGTGAACTATCCCTTTAAAATGTGTTTTTAGCTTTCTGTGGCATAAACAAAGTTTCTTTGACAAATAAATGTAATTCTACTGGAAGAGAGACTGCCTTATGCACCACTACCATAATTCAATTCCCCTCCACATTAATTCATTTCAATCCAGTCTCACACAGTGTCCTGATCTGAACCCTTTCTAGGATCAAAAATAGATGGTAGGTTTGGTAACATGTCCGGACTTGTTTGGCAATGTGGTGGTCTCTTTCTCCCCAACCAAGACGAGTCAGACATGATTCAGAAATGAATTTCTGATAAATAAGCTCTTCTACTTGCAGGAATCTGAAAGCACCACATACCATGAGGACAGCGCCTCTCCTCCTCCAGGTTTCCAGTTCTTTCTGCCAATTGGTGCAGAGGGTCCCCTGCACCTACCCTCCTCAATGCTGATTGGTCAGCACTCCCCTGAGCCCTCGAGTGATGAACAGCTGGCCTGCCGCTGGCTAAAGGTGAGTGACAGAGAGCTGGTATTACTGTTCTCTTTCATAGGTTCACTCAATGCTGCTATGACGCAGTGGGAACACCCCTTGGGTGTGCTGACTGTCTGAAGCCCGTATAGAATCAAGCCAGTTCATTGGGTGATGGTGCAGGTGCCACCCCGACGTCACTACATCATCCACTCTAATACTGGCGAACACGCCATCCACTCCTCAGATTTCCTTCCTTCAGAAGCGGTCGTTTAGCCCTTCAGAAGCGATTTATCTGGCCCATGTTTCGGCTTATTTCTTTGAGTTTTATCTTTTGTACTTCAGTGACTGCATTCAGTGGAACCTTGTTTCTCCTCGTGGTGAAGTGCTCTGGCGTTTCGTCGCTGCCAGCCACCGTGCTCTTGTTTTATCGCGAGCGATGACCCGCACAGTAAGTGTGTTAAATGTACAGTATGGGTTTGTCTCAAGCGCAACGCCCTTTACGGCACTTCTAACTATACATTTTGCAATAATCTCAATCTCAAAATACTTCGCACGAGGCTTGCAGTTTTTAAGAAGGAGTCATCTGTTTTCCCCCGCCGCGCTTTTCCGGAGGCAGCTGAGGCCTTCCATGAATCCGCGACCTGGGTTTTGGATGTGGAGCTCGAGGCTACAGAGAGTGAGCAAACGTGTCTCCCCCTTTCTCTCCCTATATTGCCTGAGTGCTCTCGCGCAGATTCGCTTGTGGAGTTTAACCAAGATTATTTATGTCCTAGCCCGGGAGCACGCGAGGCCGTTTCCTTCGGGTTAGATGACGTTTTGTACACCACGGCGTCCGACTTGGAGGATTTCGGGCCCACTTCAGTCGACGCTCTCCCGCCTAGTGGCCAGGAGGCGCAGCCTTCTGCGGCCTATACTGAGCTAGTGGACATGTTAGCGCGTGCTACTGAAAAGATTAGTATTGAGTGGCCAGACGAACCACATGAGTCCCAGTCCTCTAAGCTCGACGAGTGCTTCTTGAGCGGCCCTAATTCTTGTCCCCCATGAAGAAAGCTGCCATTTTTCAGTGATCTGCATCACGAAATCTCCAGATCCTGGAAGCAGCCTTTCTCTGCTCGCCTAGTGGGTTCTGTGGAGCAGGGTTATGCCGCTATTCCGGCAATCAAGGACACGCTAGCCGCTAACATCTCGCCCGGGTATATAGACGATTAGCTTATCTTGGCCCATTCCAGTGAGTTGGTGAGTCGTCACAGAGACATTCTTCTTCAACACCTTCGATCTCTTGGCATCAGTTTGAACACTCAGAAGAGCGTTCTCACCCCTTCTCAGCGGACCATTTTCTTGGGGGTCCAGCTCGATGTGTGTGTGGCAAATGTGTTTGAACTGCTTCAAGCTAGTCCATCAAGTTTCGGTGAGCACATGCTGCAGACTCCTGTCTCTCATGGTAGCGGCCTCTCCTGTGCTGCCCCTGGGGCTGCTTCATATGAGGCCATTTCTGTGGTGGATGAAGTTGAGTTGCTCTCGACATGGCGGGACCCTCTCTTTTTTCAACAGGGGGTCAAGATGGGAGCTGTTTGCCATCTCCAAATGATTACGATGGATGCCTCCCTAACTGGTTGGGGCGCGGTCTTCGAGGGCAGACGGGCTTGTGGTGTCTGGATGGGAGAGTTTCTCTCATGGCACATAAACAGCTTGGAGCTGCGAGGTGTCTTCCTGGCCCTGGTGCATTTCCTCCCAATTCTGATGGGTTGTCATGTGATCGTCAGAACGGACAACATGGCGGTAATGTCTCACATAAACCGCCAGGGAGGCTCATGGTCGCGCACACTGGACAGGCATGCGCACCGCCTTCTCCTTTGGGCTCAGGACAGGTTTCTTTAACTGAGAGCAGTTCATGTCCCCGGAGCTTCAAGGTTCACGTCCCCGGCTCTAAAGCATTGATAATGCTAGGGCTCCTTCTACTAGGAGGCTTTATTCTTCCAAGTGGATGTCGTGGTGTTCGGCTCATGCAGTGTACCCAGTCAGTTTCTGCAGGAGAAATTTGGGGCTGGAGCGGCTGCTATTACCTTGAGAGTTTATGTTGCAGCTATCGCTGCTTGCAGGAATGCGGACAAAGTCACCCTAGGTAGATATGGTTTGGTTTATTTTTGTATGCGTGGGGTTAGCTCCTGAATGTAATGTATTCTGTCCCTTAAGGCGTCGCTCCTGTTGGCATTGGGCTGTTGGCGTTGGCTTCTATCAAACGTGTAGGGGATTTGCAGGCTTTCTCTGTTAGCGAGCCATGCATGGAGTTTGCTCAAGGGCCTTGTTAAGGTATTCCTATGGCCAAGACCTGGTTATGTCCCCAAGGTCTTGTCCATGTCATTTCGCTCCCAGGTGGTCGTGCTTCACTCCTTCCCTCCTCCTCCTAAGGGACGCTATCTCACTTTCATATGAGGTGCGAGGTCTCTCTTCACCGCTAGGCATTCAAGCTCATTCTACCAGGAGTGTTGCTTCCTCTCATGCTCTTTTCAGTGGAGTTCCCCTGGAGGATATCTGTGTGACGGCAGGATGGTCCTCTCCTCACACTTTTATGAGGTTTTATAGCTTGGATTTAGATGCGGCTCCTGGTTCCCAGATTCTTTCTGCTTGAACCAGCCATTTGAGGTTAGCCTGGTCTATTTTGCATCCAGCCAGATGTGGCAGCACTTAGCTTGGCGAGTGTGGTATATCGTTCCCACTGTGTCATAGCTACGCAGCGTTGAGTGAACCTATAAAAGAGAATGTGTTCTCTAAATAGGGAATGAGACGCTTCGTTTGCTCCCAATCTCTTCGCGCTGCCAACAGGACTTCTATGGCAGGAAATCTGAGGAGCAGACGGCGCGTTCGCCAGTACTAGAGTGGATGATGTAATGACGTCGGGGTGGCGCCCGCGCTATCAGCCAATGAATTGCCGTGATTCCATACAGGCTTCAGACAATTGGCACACCCAAGGGGTGTTCCAAACTGCGTCATAGCTACGCAGCATTTTGTTCCCTATTCAGAGAACATGGGTTACGCGAGGAACCCAGGACGTTTTGAGCCATGATGATGAGGTTGAAGACTAAATGAAGTGCATTTCACTTTCTATAATATGTTTCCAATTGAACCATGTTAAGAAACATTTTTTAAATGTGTCATAAAACAGGAAATAATGCAGCACTATTTGTTCTGTGAATGTGTTTTACTGTCAATTTTTGCCTGGCGGACAACAAAATGGGTCAAAATACCTTAGACTCACACTAAAAGAAAAACCAGAACCGTGTTTAGAAACCAGAATATCACCGAGACCAGTTACAAACTACAGGGTTTCCCATACATTGGTTTATTTGTGGTGCCCCGCCACAATATCAACACTGACCGCCACAAATAGATTTTCCAAAAGACTTTGATTTCATTGAATATACATGAGCACTGCACGTTTCAAAATCAAAACGCGGCACGGGTTATTTTATATAAATGTATCTTTGAAGGGAACCGATTGTCTTCAGAAAAGTTTTGATGTCATTTTCATTTCATCTTTCATCCTATAATGCCTGATAAAGTAGCGTTCATGAGCGCAGCGCTGTTTTGATTACAGCCGTTACCTGGGAAACCGCTATTTCTGCCGTTCCTAAAGCGCCTCCTGCTGGCAGAGAATGATTTTGCATTTTCAATAAGCCTGTCTGCTGTTTTATATTTACATTATATACATATATATTTCCCCCGGGGGAAGTGCCGCCATACATAGAGTGTAAGGGTGCTTTCACACCTGGCCTGTTGTTTCGGAACCTGGCGCGTTTCCCCCCTTAGCTCGGTTCGTTTGGGCATATGTGAACACGGCAATCGCGCTCGGATCCGCGCCAAAACAATCGGTCCGAGATCGCCTGAACGAGGTGGTCTCGGCTCAATTGAAAACGAACTCTGGAGCGGTTCGGTTGTAGTGAGAAAGCAATCCGATCCAACGGACCAGGCTATATAACAATTTATGATGGGTAATTACGTAAGCTCCGTGAAAAGCATTAGCTTTGTTGTTTTGCTAATACCTCAAAATGAACC